CAGTGAGCCAAGTTTATTTTCCACATTCCTGGAGGAAGTAGCTAAAATTCCTTTTCACAAGTCCTTAAATTTCTAAATAAACAAAATTCACTCATTGGCCTCTTAAAATGTAAAATATTGTGAAAATACTACATTACAAAGTAAAAATGTATTTCCTCAGTAGATTGTCTCAGCATTCAGGGCGCACAAAATCCATTCATCGTTGGTCTGTCTCCCTTCCATTTGAGGATTTAGAATGAACCCAGGTTGAACTTTGGAGCCTGGTTATGTTTATTTGCAATTCATTCCCATACTACTACAGTCTTTTTTTCCTGTCAAAATGCCATTTTATCCCATCCTAGTTTTCTATAACTGATCGCCAGGATATGCGTCAAGTAATTTGTTATAATATATATCTATGTTCCACATTTATATAATACATTTTCTCTCAAAACCAATTTTCTCTGCTCCTTTCCCTTCTTCCATTTTTTCTTATCTTCCTCTCCTGAAGCCATTGGACTAATTTTTGCTTTGCTCTCCGATACATCAGCCAAGTGCTGTTGCTCTATGATTGTTAGCAGGCTATTTGACAGTGAGGGGAGGAAAGAACCATAACTGAATCCAATCCTGCTGTCCCCAGAAGTCCACACACACAACAAACACACTCTTTTCAGAAGAGTCTCTGGTGATCAGAGGCCTGAAATTCCAGTTATCATTCCTTATAATGACCAATTAGTCAATGCTAGTCTCTATCCTCCACATAAGTCTATTTATGTGGAGTTCTATCTGCATGTCATTTACTCTGAGTCCTGGAGCTCATTGGTTAGAGCACTCACCTCGCAAGCGAGAGGACCTGGGTTCAATTCCCGGACGGGGTGAAATGTTGTGCAAGTTTCCTTACTCCACACGCCTCTGCTTACCTAGCAGTAAGTAGGAATCCGGTTGTCGAGTGGTGGATCGCTTTTCTGGGGGTAATAATCCCTTCAAAAAAAAATAGTAATAATAATGTGGTCACTCAATCCACAACTGTTTGTGGGACACTGCTGTGTGCAATTGGCTGCTGCATTTTGCCCACAAAATATAGTCAATTCACTTTACAGTATATTCTGTGAAGCGCTTTGAGATGTCTTGAAGACGTGATAAGGCGCTATATATATCAAATGCAAGGAATTATTATTATTTAATGATGTACAATTAAAAAGGGAAAAAAGGTCAACTTCTTCAATGTAGTTACACAGAATGGCGATTGGAATTTCAGCTCACAGGAGTGGGAATACTGACTGTTAACCTGGGTACACAGGGCGATACCCTGCTAATATCAGCTAACTTTCAAGAATGAATATACATAGATTGTACAACATGGAAACAGGCCATTCGGATCAACTAGCCCATGCCAGTCTCTATCCTCCACATGAGTCTACGTGGAGTTCTATTTGTACGTCACTTACTCTGCAGATCCCCCTCCTCATCACAGTTTAAATTTTGTTGATAGAAGCTACATCTTTCACTTTCTGACTGCTTTATGGCTTTATGTCTATGTACATAGAAATGGGCAAGATATGAAAAACAATATAAAAACTGACATTAAATGTTGCATTCATGAAACTCTATTCACCTTCACACAAAATAATTGAATAAATTCAATAATGCAAAGTACATATGGCTGCCAAAAATAACTAAATTGTTTTGTGCCAAACTTGAGGCTTAAGAAGATTTGATTTCCCGGAGCTGACCTAAAATATTCAGGAGTCTACTTTTAAATTGTTCTGTTTCGAGGAAATTCCCCAGGAACTCTACTTACTAAGGACTTTCACTTGTCCATTGTGTTTTCTAAAACAAAAAGCACTTTGTTTGATGTGTAATAGTGTTTCAAGCTTATTGTTAATTCTTCATTTGCAAAGAGTAATTACAGTCATCCGTGTGAGGTGATTGAGGGGAAATTATGGCAATTTTTAATTGTGTGTAAAAGTAGAAATCTTTCAAGAAATCAAATAATTCATGGTAGGTAATATGACATTGCTTCTGATGCTTCTGCACAGTATACAGTAATTAGACCTATGCAAGAATGAAAACTGCCTCATCTAATAAATTAATGTTAGTGTTAAAATGTATAATTTGAATCTGCAGCATTTGCATGTATATATGGTAGTTGTGTCTTTTTGTCTGATAATGTTTAAGAGTCAAGTGCCTGAGAGGAAACAAAATTAGACTGACACCAAGGTGATCCAGCACCCATTAAACAATTTCCTTGAGGTTACAGCACAAGATGGAGAATGACCCAGCAGTCAAAGGCAGGAGGAAGATACTAAACAACAAGAACTATAACTTGTATTTTATAGCACCTTTCCTAAAAGATAACCTCTCAGATAGCTTCACAATGACAGAGTCATGGAATCCAATGGGAGACGGATTCAGTAGAGCCTGGTGAGGACTGGATTGGTGGGCGAGTAGAGTTTGGTGAGGATGTAGTCTACAAAGTTTTGGATTAGCTGGAGCCAATGGATGGTGAAACAAGGGAGACTGGTGAGGAATGTATTCATACAGTTCCAAACATTTTAGCCACTGGATTTGTGTCACTTTTCAGTGAAAACGTTAAGTTACATTGAGGACTGGTACAGGATGCAAAATGAAAGCTGGTTCAACTGGCATACATTGCTTTCTGATAAAAAGTGTGTATGTGTAATTATATATATCAGAGTTAATAAAATGTGTCGGATCGGATCAGATCAGATCGGATTCATGAGCATCTCGGGGGAGGGAAGGGGAATGTGACGTGCCTGCCATATAAGGCGGACTAGCTCTTTAAAGTCAACCTTTAGGTCATCTGAATTGGTTAGGTGAACAAAAGATGTATTCCAGGAGAGTTTGGGAGCAAGAGGTCATAGGCCTGCTGACATGTTTTGTATGGGAAACATCAGTGGTGCTGAAAGGAATGGCTTGGGGTGAGTTGTTCACCTTCCCCGATCTTTTGTCAAAGCTATCCACTGCCTTTTCCCTGTGAAAGTGCTGATAATTTTTGTTTATGCATTGTCTAAACATTAAATGGCTGTAAACACAATATCAATGCCTGTTTGCAAAGGATTTCGGAACTTCTGAGATTCTGACAAAGAATCAAGTTAAACGTTATTATTTTGTTTTCTTCTGAACATTTGAATCATATTTGTAAAAAAAATGATAATATTGTGTAAACAATGAGTGCTGATAACCCCTCCTTGAGGTTATAGACTTAGAAGAGTTACAATGAGCCGAATATTGTGAGGCGGCTGGATTAAATGTAGACTTACATCGATGTTGAAATATGATTCAATTTATAGCCATATCAACAGTAATGAAATTTACCTGGTAACAGGAAGTGTCAAGCATGTAACCCTAGCTAAGTTTTTTTTAAAAAGGACAGATACATATGGAAAAAAACAGAACATAATACTGATAAGAATTTCTTTTAGTAGAAAACTAGACAAATTCCAGATCCAGTCATGTTAGCTCAGTAGTCCACAGCATGTGTAGAGGGTCAGTAATGCACATGCCATGAACTGAATTAACAGGGAGGGAAATATTTGGATTTGAGACAACTTAACTCTTTTGATAATTACACTGAATAACTGATGCTCTGCTTTCATCTCTCAGAATTTGACACACTGTTGGAAGACATTTCAGGAATACTATCTGATATCAGACATCATAACAGTAATTTACCATGCTTACCTATGGAAAGGAAAGGGCATGATTTAGCATATTTTTGTCATTACCTCTTTCCCCTAATATGCACCATTCATCTTTCTGGAACCATTTTTATTTGGTTACATATACTCTGAATCTGACAATGTTCTGCCATCAATAGCATTTTAGAAATATGGCTCATTCTGAACTTTGAGCTCTGGATACCATCTATTTCAAGATTGTGTCAGAAAAAACAGATAACTGAAATAATTTTGCATAGTTGTTAATGGGATTTTTCTTTTCTTGTAGATTGTGTCTGGATGCAATCCTACGTATTATTTTTCCTTGCATTTGATATAGAACATTATTGCATCGTAAAAGCACCTAAAAGGGCTTTGCAGGATTTTTTTTGTTTTAAAAAAAACTGCTTTTAACAGAGTTTAAGTAGACAGATTTCAAATTAAACCACAAAACGTAGAAAATGTGTGTTTTCCTATTTCATGCTTTTAATGTTTAATGCTTTTAAATAACAGACTGTGAATCTGTTGATACTATAATAAATATGCGATAGTGATCATACAATGATAAAACACGAACACAAATATTTATTTATATCTTAGCATATTAGCCCATTGACTCCTCCAGATACAATTGAGGTAATGTGTATGTGAGGCTGGGTGGTGTAGTGGGTAATATCACAGTGCCTTCACCTTAAGGTATGAGTTGAGAAGAGAGTTTCCTCTTTCTGCTGGCTGCAAGAAGCCTGCATTAAATGAGTTTGAGCAGTCTTGGTGTGAGTCCAAACATAAAAGGGCCCACAATTCAGCACTAATTGGCACTTTGCTCAGACAGATCACAAGGATGGCTGGTTGTGGGGAATGGAAATATCATGCTGGTGCAGTTGGGGGTACTTTTCAGAGTTTGGGGTTAATGCACGTGTTGAACTGAAATGGGGAGATTTGTTCTGCATCTTGCCTGTAAACATGTACTGCTGAAAGCGTTCCATTCCCTGCCGCTGACGTCTCTCACAAACGTAAAAACAATCCACAAATAAAATCTGTTTCTTCAGAAGTGTATGTCACAGAAATATTTCTCAGGTTACTTTTTCTCTGTACTGAACAGTTATTTCAAGTCTCTGCAGTATATTGTAGTTAGCACCTGTGCACGTAGCAGTTTAATGCCTATTTGTAAGTGTTGGTGCTAGTGGGTGATTTCTCATTCTATTATTGAATATTTTAGTTGTATTTTACAGGTATGCAAATGACAATGTTGATATGATTTGATCACAGAAACATCATGTTTTTATTGTTAACATTTACTGTCAGTATGCCAAAGTTTTTTCTTCTTTGTTCGGATCATAGGTCAGAAAAATAGTCAGAAAAGGAACACAAGACCACCCAGCAGTATTTTGGCTGATCTAGAAAGCCTAAAAAATAGTATTACATTGCACCATTTTGCTGGACATTACAATGGAACTGATAGCAACATCACTGAAGCAGAAAGTCACAAACGAACAAAACGTTTTTTGTCATATCCGCGGTACGTGGAAGTTATGGTTGTCGCAGACAGCAAGATGGTTGAACATCATGGATCAAATCTACAGCATTATGTCCTTACTTTAATGTCTATTGTAAGTACTGTTGACACTGTGTGATTTCTCATTCTATTACTGAATGTTTTATTTGTATTGTACAGGAATGCAAAAGACTATGCTGATACGATTTAATCACATAAATATTTAATGTTTTTATAGTTAACATTTACTTGACAATATGCTGAACCTAGTTTGAAAATCTCTGTTCTAGATGACTTGAGTTATGAAGGTATAATTATAGCCTTTCTGGTGTGAAATGTTTTCTTTTGAATATGCTTAGAAGTTCATTCAATTTAGATTGTTTTTAAAATTCTGCTGTAGTGGTAAGCTGATATGCAGAAAATAATGTTAGCTTGGTTGACCAAAAATGTTGTTGAAAACATTGGAGGAGAAAGCAAAACTTTTTTTAAATTGTTCGTGAAATGAACAGGACAGGGAGGTTTAGAAAGATGGATTGAATAATACCAAGCAGTGTAAAGAGTACAATGAGGATAATATTGCTAAAAAAAAGGAAAGGAATTTCAAGGGGATTCTAATACCACTATTTTTATAAGTAATTTGAACACTAGTATGTATCAAAATCAAGTATGTCAGAATTTTCAGATGATAACACATCCAGAGAGTTAGGTTTGGAAAATTAGATGCAGATAAGTTTCTCAATACATTTACTAAAAATTGCCCATTGCAAATCATACTATTTTCATGTTGCTTCCATAGATTGGAGCTTAATTATTTTCTCTCCTTTTACAGGTGGCTGCTATATATAAAGATCCAAGTATTGGAAATCTCATAAATATAGTTGTTGTGAAATTAGTTGTTATAAATAATGAACAGGTAAAACAACATTTTGATCAAACATTTGTCTTACATGTTTCACACGCTTTTTCCCACAAACAATATCAACGCTTAAAGTAACAATCAGGTATTTCACACTGTTTTTATATTGTCTTTAGGAAGGTCCAACCATATCATTCAATGCTCATACAACATTAAAAAACTTTTGTATATGGCAACAAAAACAGAATAATCCAGATGAAACCCATCATTCTCACCATGACACAGCAGTACTTATCACAAGGTAACTTTTAAAATGTTCTTGCTATTAATTAAAAAACGTTTTCTCTCTGAAATAATTATTAAGCAATCTACAATGCACTTGTACGACAAAATGAAGCCACTGTGCAAATTTGCCATCAAAATTCAGCACTAAATGACACAAATTGGCCATTTTTCTTAATCAACAGGTAGTGTGTGAGTAAATGTTTGTAACAGTGCAATGTATCCCTCCTCTGTCTTTAGTTTCTCACGCACTCCTGCCCCCCTCCCCCCCACCCCACACACCACACACTTTTCCAAAGATACAGACACTACTGTGTTTTCCAGTGGCTCTAGTTATGTCTAGTTTCTTGCCCAAATGGCCATTCTTCATGTGTGAGCCCAGGCAATGAGGTTCTGAAACTATTCAACCTTGAAAGTATCGTGGCTGGGCACAATCCATGGTGAAGAAATGACTGACCTATCTTTTGCTTTTTATCAGTGCGTTACATAATTCAGAGAACCCAAATAAACACTATAACCATATAAATGCATACAGTTAGATATTCTCAACGAGAGGACAGAATTGATCTGTTTTTGAAAAAAGAATGAGTGAAGTACATTGAGTTCAATATTTTGTGTTTTTGTTTAGGCAAGACATTTGCAGAGCTCGTGATAAATGTGACACATTGGGTAAGTTATGATTGTATTATGTCTCTTTTGTCAGAATTTCTCATTAGCAGCCTTCGTGTTTGCAGTAGTGGAGCATCTGACTAGAATGATGGAGTCCTGAGCTCAAATCCTAGACTTAATTAACATTCATACTTAGGTGCCATCATTAATCTAGTTATAAGCGTGCCACAAAAGAAAATAAACTCTGTTAAGAGAGGTATTTCCAGCTAACAGCCCTCTCTCCTCCGTGTCCTATTGCTATGGATAAGTGTGGAATGAAAAAGGAACATTTTAAAATGTTTGTTTCCATATCATTCTCTTTCGAACAGTTTATTATTTGTATATACTAATTGGCAATAGTAATCTACATTGTCCTCTGTTGTATATTTAAATAACTATCAAACATAATTTTCTGAACCTATACTAACAGAAGAAAATTTGAGGATAAGAAAAAGCCGTGACTATCTTCTCCTATGGCCGAATGGATAAAGGCTTGCCTTTGTATCACTAAGCCATGCAGACCAGGTTTGCTGGCTCAAATCCTGGTCTATCCTGAGTTATTTGATCTTAGGTGGGTCAACAGTTGGGAAAAGAAGAGGAAATAACATCCTGGTCATTAACCATTCTCAAATGACCCCTTTTAAAATGTACTCTTGTGTGAACATTGTGTGAAGACAGGAAATGGGTAGGTTGTGATCCCCCACTCCCTCTTCACTCCCCCTCCATAGTTGAATGAACTCACTGTCCAGCCTCACACATGAAGAATAACCATAATGTGGGTGAGATACTGCAGTGGGTGACTAGTGTCTGTAAAACTTTACACCAGCAAAGAATCAGCACCTTGAGGGGAGAAATATTGAAACCTTTTCTTTGATCATTTAAATTCATTCTTTTTAGAGCATTAACTCTCTCAAATGGGCATCTAATTGCATTTTGAATAACCATATTGTATTCAAGTTAAAGGAATTCACCATAATGATCCGTCAATCTGTTTGGTGAGAATTTTCTTCTGTGTTATTTTCTAGGTTTGGCTGAACTTGGTACTGTGTGTGACCCATATCGAAGTTGCTCCATTAGTGAAGATAACGGACTAAGTACTGCTTTCACAATAGCTCATGAACTTGGGCATGTGTAAGTCTTTTACAGGTTCATAATAAAGAATATTGAGATCATATGTACCTGCAACTGTGTGTGATATTGTAACAGCAGCACTACTACCTAGATTTCATTGTGTGTTTGATTTTTCTTAAGATTTATTGGGGAGAAATTCCACCTGGCTGTAGGTTTTCTCTACTTTCTTAGCATTTCAGAGTATTGAGAATCTGGCAAAATGTTGAAATCGAATTCAACTTTGAAGCTGGATTTCTGTAGTCGTGTAGTCTGGATTTATGTAGTAAATGCAAAGTCTTTTACAAATGTATTGATGTTTCAATAGTTTTTAAGATCACGTTAAAATAATATTAGCATTAATCTTAAAATACATAAGTTCTGTCCCAGTTGTGTGACCCTCAGTCTTTAGGTCAAATTGTATTGTATGGTGATCTGAGTGATCAATGCCAGAGGATGATTCAAACGAGGGGAGCCACTGAGAATTCATTTTAATTTATCACTTCCAGTTTTCTCACCTCTGCTGTTGGAACTGACTAGTACTGATGTACATTTCCACTGACGCCTTAAACCTTCTGGTACTTTGATCAGGCTTTCTTCACCGGGAGTGAACGTTTGCAGGCTGAACCATTTCATTTGTAATCATAAATAGGAACAATGATCCGTCAAACAAAATAGGTTTTGAGTATTTTTTTCCTTGAAAGTTGGGAAGAGAGACTCTCGGACAACTGAAAGGGGACAAAAAAAGCAGACACGAGACCAGTTAGCAAAATGATCCGTCTTGTATTTTTTTAAAAAAACACTTACTGTGGTTTGCTGCTTGAAAACTTGAGACATTATTTAGGGAGCTGTTTATCTGCTGCTACGAGAACACATGTTACATCTAAGTAGCCATGTCAAAAGTTTCTATCTATTGGATTTGTAGACCAGTGATACAGTATGTAAATGTATATGAAGTATATTGCCATTTTAGCAGATACTGGTAGTAGTGGCACAGTTGTTTTAGTGAACTGTATTGATAGAACTGTACTTTTATACCAGATCAAGTCGAAATCTGCTTCTGCAGAGGGGCTATTGTAGTGGTTTAAGGGGCTATGGATGAGGGTGGGTGGAAAGGCAGAAAGAACAAGGTGTGAAGACTAAAGCAACTGTTCACACTTCCTCTCTAACTGCATCGTATTCAGGGTCTCTCGTGTGAATATCAAAGACTAAACTGCAATGCCCTCAGCTGGCTTTAATTTACACTCATTTGCCAAATTTTCTTGCCTCCTGCAACTGAGATTCCAGAGTGCCTGCAACAACTTCCTGTCCCTTACTCGGAGGAAGCTAGAGATTGGTAGGGCAGTGGTTTAAAAAAAAGTGTAGTTTCAGTTTTTTTTAAACTTGCTTTTTCTGATGTAAGTCAATACCAATTGGTAGCAGAATTTGAAATTTTACTACTGTATGAGAGATATAACAAATTCTCATCCTGTGGGTGTACTTCAAAACCTTTACAGAGGCTTTCAGCCACTATACCACGAAATTCTGGAACACCCTCCCTCAATCCCTCCGCCTTGTCCCCTCTCTCCCTTTATTCAAGTCCTGCCTGAAAACCTTCCTCTTTCGACCGTGCTTATGGCCACCACTCAATTTGGTCACGACTGTCTGTGGGACACTGCTGTGTGCAATTGGCTGCCGTGATTTGCCCACAAATATACAGTAAATTCACTTTACAGTATATTCTGTGAAGCATTTTGAGACGTCCCGGAAGATATGAAAAGCACTCTTATCAAATGCAAGGATTATTATCTATATTATTACATGGCTATTGAATTGGCAGTGTACCACACGCTTTCCATTGGAGTTTCTAATTGAACTATCAGTTGTGATTTAAAAAAATATTAAGACTATCATGTCCCAGGCTTCAGTAAATGAAATGATTCGAACTTGATTGCATATACAGTAGTGCTTTAAATGATTGGCTGGAATTTTTTTTTCCTGACACGTTTTGTTTTTAACCAGATTTAACATGCCTCACGATGACAGCAATAAGTGCAAAGAAGATGGTGGCAAAAATCAACAACATGTTATGGCTTCAACACTGAATTATGACACCAACCCCTGGATGTGGTCAAAATGTAGCAGGAGATACATTACTGATTTTTTAGAGTACGTTGTCAACATTTCATACTAAGTACATGTGTATCATTTACTGTCTATCTTTAATTGTGAATTTACTGCTAGAAGTATTGAAGATCACCTTTAGACTTGTAGGTAGTTTGTTTGAATGCCTTTTGCTTATAATTTTGCTTGTGTTGGAATTTGGGATCTATATGATTTGTGTGTTTTATATCTGGGCAGGATTCAATAGATGCAATATTTGAATATTGTAAATCACTTTCTTTTTTTATCTTTAGCACAGGATATGGTGAATGTCTGCTTGATGAGCCTGTGATGAGAGCATATACCCTCCCTCATCAACTCCCTGGTCAGATTTATAATGTTAACAAACAATGTGAATTGATTTTTGGACTTGGTTCTCAGGTGTGCCCTTATATGGTAAGTCAGCAGTGTAATAATAATACTTGCATTTGATTATAGTGCTTCATCATGTCTTTGAGACGAATCAAAGGGCTACCAACTTCACTGGTCCCATCACACAGAGGATACCATTCAAGATCCTGGTCTTCACCTTCAAAGCCCTCCATGGTCTTTGCTCCCCTCTACGCCTGTGAACTCCTAACCACCTACCATCCTGCCCGCTCCCTCCGCTCAGCGGGCTCCAGCCTGCTTCACGTCCCCCGTCTCGCCCTCCCCACCATTGGCGGGTAGACCTTCTGCCACTCTGCCCCACCCTCTGGAACTCCACTCTTCAGTCCCTCCGCCTCAACCCCTCCCTTGACTCCTTCAAGACCCACTCAAGACCCTCCTTTTGGATTTTTTAACAAAATCTTTTGATCTCCCTGCTTTCCCCCTGCCCTCCACACTCCCCAATCCTAATCCCCAGCTCGGGTCCAAAACTCTGTCTGTCCAGTGCCTTGGGACGTGAAAGACGCTATACAAATTGAGACGTCTCACACACATAAGACGCTATATCAAATGCAAGAATTATTATATTATAGTTAGGATTTGCTTGCAATAATAGTTTTCTGCAAAAAAGTTTTTAGAACTTGCTTAATCAATTATTCAGTTAGTTAATGCATGATTTTGTTACTTGTAAATCCTGTTGCCAAGAGATTATTTTAGAAAGTTAATGAGTAGATGAATCTAATAATATAATGAAGAATTTTAACCAAAACATCCCTCGGATAATGTTGACCCAACAGAGTGGGCTTTGCTTATTTTATTCTGTTTTATAATTAAAACATTCCAGTACATCAGGAGACTTGTGTAAATAAATATAACTGTACTGTAATTATAATTCTGCTCCCTATTTATGATCAACTCTGAGAATTGATTTATTTAGGCCATAAAAGAGCAGTGAAATGCCCTAGGGTTTGGAGGAATCCTTGCCCATTGGCTGACTATTTTAATTGCGCAGAAAAGTGTCCATTCCATTTTTGCTACAGGATTGCAGTCAAGTTTCTGAATTATACATTCATTTTCAGATTATGTCACTGCTAAAGAAGCAGATAATATATTAAGTTCTTCAGACAGACTTTTCATTCAATGAGCAACTTGAGTTTTCAAACTAAACTGAATGCTTACTGGAGCTGAATGTAAACTTTTCTTGCTCTGTTTCTTTCAACTGCCCTGACAGCCAGTTCCTAAAATGAAATTACCGATTGGTGAAATATTGTTCAGTAAATAGTTTTGCTACGGAAAGACTCAGCATTACTGAGAAAACGGTACTTCTCTGTATTTAACAAAATCTCATGATTGTGATAAATTGTTACTTTCCTTCTGCTTATAAGAAACATGTATTACTGTTAAAATAAATGCCATGAGAATGTAAGTCCTTAGATTCAATTCCATTTTTCCTTGCTACATAGACACAGTGCAGACGTCTGTGGTGTACAAGCACTGAAGGAGTTCAAAGAGGTTGCAGGACTCAACATATGCCCTGGGCAGATGGAACAGAGTGTGAGCCTGGAAAAGTAAATGCTTCAAACCTTTTTTTTAAAAAGATGAATTTAAGCAGGAAACTTTCAGTGATAATTAGATATTTTTCAGCGGGTACAGCAAGATATCTTCATATATATATATATCTTCATATAACACATTTGTTGTTCATATCAATTTAATTTTAGAAAATTATTTTGTTTGTAATTTTTTTAATTCATTATCTTCCATGTATTATGGATAAGTCGCCATAGTGGCAGAGAAAATCATTCGGGGCATTCAGTCTTTCTAAACTTTCAACCTGATCCAAGTAACCCACCATATAGATGCAGTGGCTATCTTCCTTTCCATTATATCGTCATCTACATTTGTATTGCTCCTACAAGTAAGGAAATCTGCTTGTAAAGGGTGATGGAGAAAAGACTGTGTGGTTAGTATGGTTAAAAAAGAAGCCAGAGGCTGAATGAGTAGGAGCATTACACTTACATTTGAAGGGAAGTAAAAGCAAATTGCATGTTTCAAAGAAAAGGAAAAAAATTAAATGGAAGATCGAGAGGTGGGGTGGTCAGGTCTGGACTGGGAGCTGATGTTCAGAGAGAGATAGGCTCTAGGTAATGCACAGTCCCACTATAGGTTCTTTTTATTTCTGTGACTCCTTGGCTGGAGCTCATCTCTTTGGTTGAATATAACCATTTTAGTTATAGTTGTTCCCAATAATTATAGTACACATTAGTACACTATAATTAAGAGCCAATTATTACTATGGGCCATAAATACCACAGCGGTTAGATACATAAATGGGAACAGAAAAGCTCTTTATCCCCTGCAAGCAACTTCTAGACCTATGATGTCAAAGACATGGGCTGCACGTGTCAGCTGAGGTATTCATGTGGGTTTGCGTAGGATTACATGTGCAGCTTGCCATCATCAAGTAAATAACTGTATCATTAGTTGTGGTACAGAGGTCAGTTTTCTGTATGTGACTATAAATGTAATAATATGTTTACTTTTAAAATATCTTTGTTTTGCAAGATTAACATTCTGCATTTCCTGAGGATTCTGAACACCAGAAGCCTTTTTAAAAGAAACCTGCAATCTAGTTCCCTGATGTACAATCAAAATAATAGATGTGTTGGATGCTGACAAATATAACTTGCAGAAACTGCCAGTCAGCCACTAGCCATGATATCTAAGAAAATGTATCTTATGTAGTGGGAAGTGAAGGAAATTACGTGATTATGTCAATTGGTATGCAGGGTTACTGCTGAGCTCCTCAATTCCTGTAGACTAATTACCTTCAATTCGCCACTTTAAGGCCAAATTCTCACTCCTAACTTTTCATACTAAGCCATAGGAATGTTTGGCACAGGAAAGTAAAGTTCTCCACAAGCTTGTGGAGCAATGAATAACAGCAAGAAGAGATTAAAATCTGTGCTGCCAGTTCAAGATGGCGCTGAGGACAGAATTACCATGTCCCAGCAGAACCCATTGCGAGGAACATACAAGCCCTCATAGGCAAAGATCAATCTATGCAGTCAGTTCTGGAAAATCAAAACTGGAATTTGCCCATGCATACGTATTGCATCAGAAGGGCTTGAGTTACATGTACTGAAACCACATATTGTGGTATTAACAATTTAAGGAAAATTATTGACTCTACACAGAGTTGATCCCACTTGCATAAAAGGCTACTTTGATGGCACGAGCTGAAGGCTATGCAACTACTTGTCCTCCATAGAGGCAACTCCAACTTCAACCAAAAAAAACAACTTGCATTTATATAGCACGGGATACTGTCTCTGAGAGCTTTACAGTGACGGATCTTGTTGCCAAGTCAGGGAGAGAAGGGAAGTGACTGTAGGCATTGAGGAAGAGAAAGGTCTTCAGGTGTGATCTGAAGATGAGCAAAGTGGCAGAGAGTTCCAGAGTCTCGCACGGCTGCTGATGATGGAGTGGACGGGACAAGGATTACGACAAACCATTGTGCTGCATTCAGAAGGGGTTGGGGTTAACATCTGTGCAATTTTCAATGATGTGATCACACAAGATCACAAATGAAGTTAAAATGAAGAAGGCCCTTCAACCCATTTGATCTCATACTTCCAGAACACCCGCCCTACTGTGCTCTCAATACAGCATCAAGCAGTTTCTTGAATGAGTCCCAACATCTTGGCCTCTACCATCCTTCCTGGTAATCCATTCCAATCATACACTCTGTACAAAGAAATAATATCCTGAGGTCTGTCTTGAAATTGCCCTTTACGAGCCTGAACCTGCGACCTCTTGCTCTGCTAGCTTGCTGTATCTGAAAGTGACTCGATGCAGTTAAACTGAATGAATATCAAAGAATTTATTGTGGCTACCGAACCTCTTGAAGAAGATAAGAATCATGATTTTTTTTTGCCACTTTCAAAAGACGCAAGTTAATTTTTTGTCTAATCCCTGTCTCTCCGTAGCACTGCAAACATGGTGTTTGCATTTCAAAGGATCCATCAGAAGTTTCTGCAGTAGATGGAACATGGGGACCATGGAGTCCATTTGGCTCATGCTCTAGAACCTGTGGAGGTGGTATTAAAACTGCAGTTAGAGAATGCAACAAACCAGAGTAAGCAAAATGATTCAGTTATACTAATAGTTCCAATATTCTTATAGTACCACCTTGGAATAACATTAAATCTGGATGGTATTCTAACTATAATCACATACAGCACTTGATTTATTTATTCCATTCTGGTAACAGAAGAATATTTATTTTACTGTAGGCCCAGAAATGGAGGTAAATACTGTGTTGGTCGAAGGATGAAATTTCGTTCGTGCAACACTGAACATTGTCCAAAACAAAGGAGGGACTTCAGAGAAGAACAATGCGCAGATTTCGATGGAAAACATTTCAACATTAATGGCCTACCTCCAAATGTGCGCTGGGTTCCTAAATACAGTGGAAGTGAGTACTTCCAGGTTGTGGGGGTGGGGGAAGCAGCGAGAAACCACACATTTAAATTTAGGTTAATGACCCATAACTATTCATTAAACTATTATTAAGTAAAGAATGTTTTCTTTTCAGTTCTGATGAAAGACCGCTGCAAGCTGTTCTGCAGAGTGGCCGGAACCACAAACTATTATCGGCTCAGGGACAGAGTTATTGATGGCACACTTTGTGGACCAGAGACCAATGACATCTGTGTTCAAGGACTTTGCCGGGTACAAAAGACACTTTGAATATATTGCATATATTAAATAATAATTTATTTAAAATTATCAAATATTTCCCCCCGTTCTGCAGCTCTGCAATAACTGACTCTTCATTTTTACAGCAAGCCGGATGTGATCATGTATTAAATTCAAAGGCAAGAAGAGACAAATGTGGTGTTTGTGGTGGCGATAATTCTTCATGCAAAACTTTAGCAGGCACATTTAATACTGTTCATTATGGTAAGAATTGCAATTTTCTCCCTTCTCCTGTACTCCGTGTCCAACTCCATCACTGTGAAGCACTCTGGAACATTATCCTATATAAGTGCAAGTTGTTACTGTAATTTCATTTATGTAACAACAAAGTTAATGCAATGATTTCATAGAAAAGATGGGAATGCAATTTAAAATGTTCTGTTCCCTTCCTACTTGCTGTATAATCAGGATGTATTTTTATATTTCTCAGGATATAACGTAGTAGTGAGAATACCAGCTGGTGCTACAAATATTGACGTGCGACAGCACAGCTATTCAGGGAAACCAGAGGATGACAATTACCTTGGTAAGTTAATTTGTAATAGAATTAAATAATTTCAATGTTTCTGTTACATGTGCTCCGGGACACTGCACTGGGAAGTCGCTATATAACTGAAAGTACTAGTAGTAGTAGTTGTTGTACATGTGAATGTATTGCATATTATGGGGGAGAAATTCCACATGGGTCTGATTTTAGTGTTAATTATGTAGCATTTCAGATTGTGTAGAATTTGGCAAATTATTGACTTCAGTTTTATCTTTGGAGCCGGTTCCTTTCAGTTTCTTAAAAGAACTTGCCGAATCAATACTGTCTCCATACTATCTTCAAATTCAATACTGACTGTAAGAATTTGCCAAAATTTGATGCTTCGAAATGCTACATAAACAGTTGATATAGACCCAGGTGGAATTTCACCTCCTTATGTTGGTCACTCGCAATGTTTGTTCCTGAACTGATACTGATTCTGATTTTGCTGCAGTCATACCATGATTATCACATCACTGGAAACCCAAATTGCCTTGTATAGTATTAACCGCCCTTGTGGCAAATTTTAAACAGTTTTGAAAAAAACATGTTGCTGAGTAAACAGACACTGAAATAATAATGCCTATTCCAGTATGCTGTAGGCTGGAATAAGGCCACTAGGCATAGCTGAAATATTCATTAATTCTGTTCCTAGATAACAATTGTTTTAGGAATGCAGGCTTTTACCACGCATTATTGCTTGCTGTCTCAGCCAATTGGATCATTCGTTTCATGATTCTGTCCACTAATGCTTGCTAATACAGAGGCATGCATAATGAGCTCCTGCTGTTTTACAGTTTACTGTTACATCATATGCCTTTTATTTTTCTTGTCTATATGGACCAGTTTACTTTGATGTGCATCCAAAGTTGTTTGTACCCTGGATTAAATTGACCCTCTAAGTGACCTTATGTGGTGCCTTACGGAGTCTGTACAGTGTTTTATTTGTTTTTGGAGGGCAAAAAAAAGACTGGTTTACTTGGAAGTTTCTCTCTTGACATTGCTTCACTTTTGCCGTTCAAATCAACCAGCAGAAGTGGCTGTTTCCCAAAGAAACCAGGTTTGTTGCATTCTACAGTCAAATTTATTATTTACAGCTTGGCTTGCAAAGTGAAACATTCAAACTTGTGCATGCAGCATTCACAAGATTTTGAATTCACATTTTAACATCCCCAGGTTGGCCATGATCTAAAGAGCACTAGCCAGTGAATGTTTTATTTTCCAATCAATGATTATTTTGATTTTTAATACAAAAGGAAAGCATTGACTGAATTTGTAATCAAAGATTTTCCACAAGGCTTCTCTTCTGTTGAATTGGCTTTTCATGTATGTTTCTATGACTGAAGTGGCAAATGTAGCCAGTGCACAATCAATACAATTACATAGAATATACAGCACAGAAACAGGCCATTCGGCCCAACTGGTCGATGCCAGCATTTATGCTCCACATGAGCTTCATCCTACCCTTCCTCAACTAAGCCTATCAGCTTAACCTTCCCTTATTCCTTTTCCCCTCATGTACTTATCTAGCTTCCCCATAAATGCATCTTAAATGCATTTGGTATTTCGCCCACAAATATACGGTCAATTCACTTTACAGCATATTCTGTGAAGCGTTTTGAGACGTCTAGAAAACGTGAAAAGCGCTATATCAAATGCAAGGATTATTATTATTATTATTATCTATGCTATTCGCCTCAACTACTCCTTGTGGTAGCAACTTCCACATTCCCACCACTCTCTAGGTAATATCGTGGACCATTCCATCCTCCTCCAAAGCCTCATCTCTCATCTCAACCTTCAAGGTTCTGTCTTTGAATGGTTCAGGTCTTATCTCTCACACCGTCTCCAATTTGTCTCTGCCAATGGTTTCTCTTCCAGCCTCCGCACAGTCTTGGGCAGTGTTCCTCAGGGCTCTGTCCTCGATCTCTTCCTCTTCACCCTCTCCATATTCCCCCTTTGTGACATCATCCGCAGACATGGGGTCAACTTCCACATGTACGTGGATGACACCCAACTCTATCTCTCTGTCTCCACCCTCGATTCCAGGACAACTGACGTCCTGGCATCAAGTCCTGGATGAGAGCCAACTTTCTACAGCTGAATGTCAACAAGACCAAGGCCCTCTTGATTGGCTCGCACCAGCACCTCCACACCTCAGGCACTGGCAGCATCAGCATCCACGGATGCACACTCCACCTCACTGAACCAGTCAGGAAACTGGATATCTTGTTCGACCCTCAATTGTCCTTTCTCCCCTACATCCATGCCATGATCCGCTCTGCCTTCTCCCAGCTCTGCAACAAAGCCCGACTCCACCACTGCCTCACCCCTCAGACTGCTGAAACTCTCATACACACATTTGCCACCTCAAGGCTCCACGACGGAAACTCCATCCTTGTTGGCCTTCCAAACTCTTTTCTCACAAGCTGCAGATCATCCAGAACTCTGCAGCTCCTGTCCTCTTCCCCCACCAGGCTTCGTGACCCCATCACCCCCACTCTCGGCTGACTCCACTGGCTCCCCATCCCTCAGCATTCAAAATGCTCGTCCTTACTTTCAAGGCCCTCCACGGCCTTGCCCCCTCCTGCCTCTCTGACCTGCTGACCCCCTATCAACCTGTCCGCTCCCTCTGTTCAGCAGGCTCCGGCCTGCTCCATGTCTCACACCCAACACACCCTACCATCAGTGGCCGGGCTTTCAGTCTTTCTGCCTCCACCCTTTGGAACTTCATCCCGCAGTCTCTTCGCCTTGCTCCTTCCCTTGCCTCCTTCAAGGCACGACTCAAGACCCTCCTTTTCGACCGTGCCTTCAGCCGCCCTCCTACTTCTCTGTCCTCCCTCATCCCAACCCTGGCCCCCCCACCCAAGCTCAGGTCCTGATACCGGACTGTTTAGCACCTTGTGACGACTGCCCGATGTGAAAGGTGCTTTACAAATGTAATGTTGTTGTTGTAAAGAAGTTTCTTCTGACTTCCCTATTTGATTTATTGGTGACTATTTTATATTTATGGTCCTGGTTTTAGTCTCCCCCACAAGTGGAAACATTTTCTCTATCTCTACCCTATCAAAACCTTTCATAATTTTAAAGACCTCTATTAGGTCACTTCTCACCCTTCTCTTTTCAAGAGAAAAGAGTCCAAGCTTGTTCAGCCTTTCCTGATTGGAATTAACCTTGCAGTTCCTGTATCATCCTTGTAAATCTTCTTTGCATCTTCTCCAATGTCTCTATCTTTTCTATAATACGGGCACCAGAACTATACACAGTATTCCAAGTGTGGTCTAACCAAGGTTCGATATAAGTTTAGCATAACTTGTCTGCTTTTCATTTCTATCCCTCTAGAAATGAAACCCAACGCTTTGCTTTTTTTTATGGCCTTATTAACCTGTGTCGCTACTTTTAGTGATTTGTGTATCTGTACCCATAAATCCCTTTGCTCCTCTACCTCATTTAGATTTTCCAGGCAGTATGTGACCTCCTTATTCCTCCTACGAAAATGTACCACCTCACACTCATCTATATTGAAATTTATTTGCTAATTACAAGCCCATTCAGCAAGTTTATTAATGTTTTATGGTAATAATGTAATAATTAGGTGCAATGGACTGACTGAGACTTGTGTAAAGTTTATGCATTTTTACTAACCGCCAAAATTCACATATGTAGTAAATAAACAAATTTGTGAAACGTTAAACTGCGTGCATGCAATAGCATGCAATAAAGAATTCAAGGAAGATTTTGTTTCAGATCGACCAGGCACAATAAAGTCACCAGGAAAATTTACGTTGTTCTTGTAGATCTATGCAGGATTGAGCGTCATGGCCAGGAAGTGCAATTATATTTGTAATGATCGATGGGATTTAAATGTGTTTTCAGCATGCTTGTATGTAAGCCTGGTGAAGCTATATTTGAAAGCGAAAATGGAGCTTACCTATAATTTCCTTCTTGGTGGAATAGTGCTAAAATATGTCTAAATTGCAGGAATCAGCAATAAGCGAATTGCACAAATTAAACCTGTGTAAAATATTTTTGAAAATGGGAACATAATTAACAAAAGGGGAGGAAAAACTACTTCCTATTTGGAAGGTAGGGTGAGCACACTTTTACAGTACTATAAAAGTAATATAACACAAAGTGCCTTTTAAAGGGTTCCTCCTTTAGTGCAAAAGCAAATTACAAACGATGTGAATTTCTTGAAATTTAGTCCCTTTATAATCTAGCAATGCACAGCAATATTTTAGGAGCTGAATTTTGCAGGGCTTTTTTAAAAAAAAGCTTAATATGATACAAGTGTTCATTCCAAATGTTGCAAATAATGATCTTGATACTGTATATGGTTTAAAAACACACTACAATTTGATTTTCTGCAAAAGTAGTTTGAAAGAGACCTGATGTAAACTATTTTTTCTCTCTTCTATCTTAATGTGTGGTTGGTTAAACAAGGCAGTTGAGCTGAAGTTAAGCCCTTTACTTCATCTGACCAATTGAGCTCTTATTTTCCTCAAATAAAGTGTACCCAATAATACTGGGTGACTTTTGAAGGATTCCTCCTTCAGTGCAAAAGCAAATTACAAACTGTGTGAGTTTATTTAAATTCAGCCCAGCATAATCTCGTGATTTATAGGAACTGAATCGGTCATAATGTCAAGGGTCAATTTTCAGGTTTGGAAACGTAATTTTCAGGTGGTTGGCTCACCAGTGGAATTCTGAAATTCCAATTATATGCACAGGCATGCAGACAAAAAAGTTTCCCACCATGCTTTTTATTCTGCAAAAGGAATTATAACCAACTTTCAAACTTAGTTGGAGAAATTAAAGCTACTCTAGCCCAACAAACCATGCTAATTCAAAATGTGGTGGAAGTTCTGATCCGCTAATTTATTTGCACTTACCCTGACTGCAGATTGTTTTTGGGGTGCAAATGGTGAGGAATGTAGGTTTTCAGACACAAGTAAGCATGCTCATATGTGCATGAGTATTTTTAATCTTACAGTCTGATTAAACTATAGCTCGTTAAATTACTACTGCTTCTCTGCAAATAACCCAATTAAATGCAAAGGGATTATGTGGAGGAACCCATGTGACTTCAAGGAATGAAACTGCAATTTGTAAATGTATTAGCAGTTCAGTGTTCTAAAGTACTGTTAATGAGCTAGTTTGTACCTGCCAGTTTAAAAAAGTGCAAATAAAAAAAGTCTGTAAACTTGTAACATTGAAACTGTTGTAATCCTCTAGCTTTTTCCGATAAGTTACTTCTAACAGAAGTTAACAAACAGTATATGATGAAGTTCCTAATGCAATAAAAGTAACTTAGAAACACAAGGAGACTTGGTGTTGAAAGCACTTCAGTGCGAGAGTTAACATTTTTTGGTTATATTCTTACCATACCATTTTCGGAGCATCTAGACAACAACCAGTATATAAACCAAAACATGAGTACCGTGTATAAACCAAAATAATGTGCAATATATTTTAAGGGAGAATAGCTAATGTCATAAATTTACATTCTCCTTGTGAAAGGTACAAAAATTGATATGCAATCAAGCAATGATGGTGGGGCTTTGATCGAGCTCACAATGAAAAAATTAATACATGTGCAACTTGTAGTTTGAGTTTCTACTCTGATTTCCTTTCTATTCTGATATAAATGGGTTCTGCAGGTTTTATTTCCTTTAGCAATCTTGAGGTTTTGCCTCCTCATTTGCATGTGCCAACAATCATCCCGCTGTTGCTGCTACAGTCTGAGACTCGAGAATGATCCTGTCTAGTTACCCTGTCTGATAAATAATTAAAATCAGAATGTACTAGATGCAGTATTTTTTGATGAAGGACTGCTTTCTTATCCATGTTAAAGTACATTCTACAACATTAACAACAACAACAACAAGATTCCATTTATAGAACTCCTTTCACGTCGGGAGGACGTCCCAAGGCGCTGTACAGTTGGGTCAGGACCCGAGCAGGGGGGAAATGGTCAGGGTGAGGGGAGGGAAGGGAGGGAGCGAGGAGGGGGTAGAGAGTCGAGAGGGGAGCTGAAGGCACGGTCAAAGAGAAAGGTCTTGAGACCGGCCTTGAAGTAGGAAAGAGAGGAGGCGGCGAAGGCACTGGGGGATGGAGTTCCAGAGCCTCGGGGCTGAGAGGCTGAATGCCCGGCCACCGATGGTAGGGCGGTTAGGGCGGGGGATGTGGAGCAGACCGGAGCCAGAGGAACGGAGGGTATGGGCAGGTAGGTAGGGGGATAGTAGGTCAGAGAGGTAGGAGAGAGCAGTGAATGGCCTTGTAGGTGAGGATGAGGATCTTGAATTCGATCCTCTGGGGGATGGGGAGCCAGTGGAGGCGAGCGAGGGTGGGAGTGATGTGGTCGTGAAGCCTGGTGCGGGACAGTACACGAGCTGCAGAGTTCTGAATGACCTTGCATAGCTGTGACGCATCAAGGGAGGGTTTTTTCAAGGTGGGAGTGATGGTGGCAGTTTTTAAGGGAATGGGAACAGAGCCAGAGGAGAGGGACAGGTTGATGCTGATATGTGGGGCAAGGAGGTGAAGCTGGGGGATAAGGAGTGGAGTGGGGATGGGGTCAAGGGAGCATGTGATGGGTTTCAGGAATAGGATGAGTTTGGTGACAGAGGGTGGGGAAACGGGTACGAAAGTGTGTAGGGGAGGATGGGTAGGAGTCGGAGTGTGGGAGGGAGGGGGTGGGGGGTGGGTGGAGGTTGGAAGGGAAGTGACCGCGGAGCGGATTCCCTTGATTTTGGATTCAAGGAAATCCATCATCTCCTCACAGTGAAGGTTGGAGGAGATGACCTGCGTGGGGTGGCGGGGGGACAGAGGAGTCGGGATGTGGTAGAAAACAGAAGCCTGGGGTTGTTCTTCGCCTCCAGGATTATCCTGGAGTAGAAGGACGACTTGGCCGAGTCTAGAGTGGAGCGGTAGATTTTGAGGAGGTCCAGCCAGATTTGTCGGTGGACCGTTAGGCCAGATTTGAGGCTACAACACATGTTGAGGCAACAACACATGTTTTGGGATTGGCCAAATGGACTGTTCTTCTCTGGTCCTGGACTATGGCTGTCTTTATGGAGCCAATGGAAAAGTACCTATTCAAGTTGGTTGTAAAAGGTGAAATGTTTGTGATGGCAAACACTAGCAGCTAGTTAATGTAATACAGTGTCAAAAGGTGTAAACCCCTTTTTATTGCTTTCTCTTCATTTTGAACCTGTTGCTTCCTATAAAATGTTATTGTGCTGATTAGTGTTACTGACATGAACAACTGTGATACTTTGGTGATAAAGTGCTCATTTAATTGCTCATTTCCATTTCAGAGGGTGTTATTGCATTGAGCAATATGCTTTGAATGTTGCTAATTCACTCATCTGCTTATACCAAGGCATTCATTGTAATTCCTGTATAACAATACATTTTTTTTAAATTTCAGTGACTAAACGTAAATTTCATTGCCATACATTCTAATGATCGAGCAATATATAAGTGAGGAGTGAAATGTTAAGAAAATGGACTCAGGAAATTTGCATCAATGTAAGGAATTTAAGAAAATGTGAGGATTCACAGATAGAATACAGTAGTCATTTTCATTGGGATGTCAGGTGGATGGGGTTAAAAAGGGTAGAATGAAGTATAGTAATAATAATAATACTTGCATTTGATATAGCGCTTTTCACGTCTTCTAGACATCTCAAAGCGCTTCACAGAATATACTGTAAAGTGAATTGACTGTATATTTGTGGGCGAAATTGCATTAGTGTATTGCATTAGTGCCATTGATTGCTGGTTCACAGGAAACTACTCTGCTTTCAAGGCATTTAGGGCAAAATTATATTTTTTGGACTCTCTTTTATACTTTCATTCAAGATTTTTGTTATACATGAAAGATGATATAGGGTGGAGTTCTGGAAAGATGAGATCAAATGGGCTGAAGGGCCATTTTCATCGAAACGTTTCTTGTGTTGGCAGTATTGTATGATTTATATATCAGATTGAGGCATCCATAGCGTATTCACAGATAAAATACAGTAATCATTTTCAATGTAGTTTCAAGTGGATGGAGCTAAAAAGGATAGAATGAAGTACAATATTGTGAACATTTGGTTGTTTTTTCAGACTTTAGTGCAAAATTAGTGCATCTGAATGGCATTCTCCGCGGTTGGAAATAATCCTTGTATTTAATATAGCCCTTTATCATGTCTTCGAAACTTCTCAAAGCCCATCAAGAAATATACTGTAAAGTGAATTGATGGTATATTGAAGTGGTAGGATGGGGTGGGGGGAGTCCTGTATAGTGGAATTATGATGGCTTTTGTAGGTGAATGTAGGGACCAATTTACATACAAGCAACCGTTTTTTCTAATCTGAAGGATTGTTGGTCCAGGACACGAGGGAAAACCTCCCTTTCGAATAGTGCCATGGGATTGTTAACGTCTACCTGAATGGGTACAGATGGGACCTTGATTTAACATCTCATTTAATGAATGATGACATCTCTGACAATGCAGCGCTTCCCACTTACATTTATGAGATCAACGTCCTGTCGTGAGTCTTGAACCACCACTTCCCTACCCCCCCCCCCCCCCCACACACACACACACATACATGCACACGCATGCAAGGACGCTACTAACTGAGGCAGGCTCATACCTATTTACCAGTGGGAAGCAGAAAATTATGGCAAAATAAATAAAATGTGGAGAGCAGTAAGCAGGGTGCGTTACGAGTTATCTACTGTTCACAACATTTAGATATGTTGTAGAGAAAGGAATGGTTTAACATATTAAATAGCTAAATAATATTTGCATTTAATACAGTGCCTTATGTGAAATATACATTATTTTAAAATATTTGGCAAACTTATAGAAGATATGTATACTTTTTGCATTTTCTGCAGCTTTGGCTAACAGTCGAGGAGAATTCCTTTTAAATGGAAATTTTGTGGTCAGCATGTTTAAAAGGGAAATTAAAGTTCGAGGAGCTGCACTTGAGTATAGTGGATCTGATAATGCAGTGGAAAGAATCAACTGTACTGATCGTCTTGAGGAAGAGTTAATACTTCAGGTAATTAATGTGCATGGCCACAGCTTGTAGTAAATTGTATTGTGTTCAATTTTGGATACATTGTCTTTTGCAATAGATAATTAATTCTTTGAACTAAATTCTCCATTAAAGGTTTTGTCTGTAGGAAATTTATATAATCCCGATGTCCGATATTCATTCAACATTCCCATTGAAGATAAAGCACAGCATTTTCTTTGGGATCAATTTGGTCCTTGGCAGAATTGCAACAGGCTATGTCAAGGTGAGTTTCACACATTGTAATTCTTCCCTAAATACTTTCTCAAATAAATGTCATTTTTTACATTGTTGGTCTGATATTGCACAAACTAATATTTGAAAGGCAATTCATATTGAACAATAAGGGAATTGCTGATTGTACTGCAAATATTCATTATCCCTGTTGTGGTTCATTGAAATGCAAATTGATATTATACTCGAACAGGTGAAAGAAAGCGAAGACCCATTTGTACAAGAGAAAGTGATCGGCTTGTTGTCTCCGATCAAAGATGTGATCGAATTCCACGCCCAGTTCCACTAACTGAATCCTGCAACACAGAATGTGAAATTCGGTAACTTTTTTCAGACATTATTTTCCTTTAAATTTATTTTCACTTCATTTATAAGGTCTGTGGTTTTTATTTGTATCATATCTGGTAAGGAATATACCAACATTGAGAATAATACTGACATCTAAAAAGATATGACAGAGAGGTTATACATCCAGACACATTTATTTTTAAAATAGCATTTAGTGGATTAGCAGATTGATCCACTTGATGCTGTTTGTTTCTTATTATTAACTGCACAATGTTTGTTCTTCATCACGTAATTAATTTTACTTTTAATTAGAAATGGAGATTTCTGGTCCTTGTAATTTCTGGTCCTTGTAATGTATTTTAAAAATAAGTGTCTCTGGATGTATAACCTATCTCTGTCATATCTTCATGTGCCAATATTATTCTTAATGTTGGTACATGAAAATATTCAAATTCCAGTGTTGCTATAAGTAGTGATGGGTTCAGAATGGTGAATTTGCACGCTAATTAATGTTTGTGTATTTATTCCCATGCAGATGGCATATTGCCAGAAAAAGTGAATGCACAGCACAATGTGGGCCTGGCTATCGAACGTTGGATATCTACTGTGCAAAATATAGTAGGTCGGAGGGAAAGACAGAAAAAATAGACGACAGATACTGCAGCTATCAAGCAAAGCCAGATGATAAGGAAGTGTGTCATGGAGATTGCAACGTTGGAGGCTGGCAGTATTCTTCATGGTCCGAGGTAAATCATCTCTTAAAATGCTCTTTCTGGAGAATCATTTATGCGGACAATAAAAGTGAGTGAGCAGAATCATTTAGGTTTGAACTTTTGATATGAAAAACAATATAACATGCACTCTGAGGGAGCAAGCTTCAATTTAGTTCACAACATTTACATTTAAGCCACAGTAAAAAAGTCATTCAATTTCTTAAGCAATCTTTTATGTTGAAATTATATCTTGCTCTTCTCCCAAACTAAACTTGAAGAAAGGCTTTATTTCTTTCATGAAATAATAATGAGTTTTTAAAAGAAAAAACATCTTAGGGAATGTTTTGACTGAACTTATAATGACATTGTGTGTGTGTGTGTTATCCATCTGCAGACAATTGTCATTTAGATAAAATGTTTTCATCAGATTTTAATCAAAATTCTTGATTGCCTTCTCTTCAAATCCTGGATTGGCTTCCTTTCAAAATATCATTGGAATCATTTGGAGTTGGCCCCTGTTCTGCACAGTAGAGTTCCGTTATAACACAGGTTTAACTTCTAACAGGGCTTTCTATGCTTAAACATGGATGACTTTCTGGTCATCGGGTCACCTGTTGTAGATGTGCAGGGTGGAGCAATTGGCTGTGGAAGGTGGCCAATTTTCAGTGTGGAAAACCAGCCAGCTTTGTGCATGCATGCACATTGACATCTCAGCATCTTGGGACGTCCTCCTGATGTGAAAGACATTATACAAATGTCATTTGTTGTTGTTATTGACATCAACAGTCATGTGTGTTGTGACATTTTGATGCAGAGTCGCTGACAAGTAATCACATGGTCTTCTAAGGTTGGCTGGGATTCTATAGACCTTTAACTACTGTGGTGGGATGGAGCTCTACTACATTACTGGGAATAATAGTTGCTAAAACTGAATACCAAAACTGGGACATAGTTTTTATTACCAATTGCTGACATTCTCCACACATCCTTTTTTTTCACTCTCAAATGTTCAGATCTGGTGACAGAATATTTCTTCAGAAACTTATTAAATTAGAACTGAACACAGTTTCTTAATATTGTCGCTGAGAAATATAACACTAATCCGATCATGGATTCCAATGTTTTACAAACATCACAGTCTTCTTCTCCCTCACGTCCACATAAGTTTGTGGATATCAGTTTATTAGGGTTTTCCCGGAAGTTGTTTAATGGAAAGCAATGCAATAAATCTGGTAGGTGATTCTCTCATCAACCTCAATGTCATGTTTTCCCAACTGAGTTAACAACCATGTGACCTATTCAAAGGCTCCTATCAAAGTTGCCTTCAACTACTGAGAAGTGCATTCATTGCTGTTACAAAGATGGGCATATGATTTTTATCCCTGAGGCTTTTCCAGATCGGCTGCTTATAATGCAATTTAAGAGGTTGTGAGGACTAATGATTCTAACAGCATCTCAGTACACATTTTACTAATTTGTTTATTCACACGAAAGACATGATTGTTATTGTTCTGGAACTCACTCCTGAACAAACATTTTCTTTTTTTAAAAAAATCCTAATGTAACACCTCAGGAAATATATAGATTGAAATTAATTTAATTTAGTCTGTTCTTTTACCATAAAGTGTTCAAAGAGTTGTGGTGCTGGCACAAGAAGAAGGAATGCTGTCTGTGTCAATTCTGTAGGGACTGTTCTTGGCGATAGCAAATGCAGCCAACAGGAAAAGATGATCATCCAGAGATGTAATGAATACACGTGTCCTGTGTGGAAAACAGGAGAATGGTCAGAGGTTAGTTAGTTTCTTCTTAATATGTTCTACAGAGATTTTAAAGATCTTTGGTTTAAAATGAGAGAATGTTAACTTTGGTAATATAAAAATGGTTGCTGCCGTGCTGTCGATGGGGAAAATTTCAATGCTTGCTCTCGTAGAATTAATCTGGTCATTTACCTCATGGCTATTTGTGAGGACCTTTACTGAGACAAATATTGTCTGCAAAAACATTGACAGTCTGTAACAGTAACCACGTAACAGTCACTGTACAATAATTACTTGCAAAGAGCATTGAAACTTTTGACATGTCAAAGTACTATTAAAAATTCAAGTTTTTCCCTTTTCGTATCTTTCATCACATAATCCTTGAACATTTTTAATTTCTGGAAACTTAACCAATTTCTTTAACAAACTCTTTTATATCTCGTTGTTGCACCACCTATATGGCTCCTCATTATGTCACTTATGCTGGTAATTTATTCTGTGTGCCTTTCCTCCTTTCACTAACAACTAATTCTCCTTCCTGCATTTTGCTTCTCTCTAAGGTTCCTTATTTTGAAGCATCCATCCAGTTTCTCACCTGAACTCACAGTGGTTGATGTTGAACTCTTGAATATAAACTGTGCAAGTGGTCTCCCTCACCTCATCCTTTAATAAAAGTCTCACAGATGAGGTTACTTGTCTGGGTGCAATATTGTGGCCAGAAAGAAATGTACTTGTTAGCAACTCCCACTTCCAGGTTTGATGCAACTTTAAAGTGTTCCAATGTTTAAAAATTGTTATAAATGGCAATGATGTGCAGTTATTCAAATTGATGTAAATTACAGTGCTTAGTGACCTGTGGGAAGGGATACAAACATCGGCAGACATGGTGCCAGGTTGGAGAAGGGCAATTAGATGAAGGATTTTGTAACTCAGCAACAAAACCAGAGTCTGTGCAAGCATGTCAACAACAGGAGTGTGCAGCATGGCAAGTTGGTCCATGGGGACAGGTACGATTTCAGTATCTATCGTTAACATTGTTCGTAATAACCATGGTTTCACCTCATAGCTTCATCTTGAACTTTTAAGCTTATTAAAAGTTCATGCTGAATTTGTATTCATTTAACAAAAATTGATATTGTTTATAAACAGAAAGGGGTAATTCACCAGTCGCAGGAAAGTGTGCAGATCATGCTGGCGAGAAAGTTCTATACATCACTTACATAGAGTTCCTTGCAGTCTGAGTTTAATGATGAGAAATTCTATTATATGTACAATGTTTCCATCCACCAAGTTCCATAGATTTTCTCAATTACCAGTGAGTCAACCCCTGGATATCAACAAATATCTTTTGGAGCTGTCGGAGTGATATAAGTTAGGAAAGGAATTTTGTTTCTACAGAGATGGTAATATTACTTAACATTTTCAAGTTTTTTTGTGAAATGACCTGACTTTGCAGCTTTTTGCAACACTTATTTTAATTTAGTCTAATGTGACCCAATCTGCGTTTATTGATTTTACCAATTTGTAAACATCAAAACTCATTTTAGTCTTTAAAATGTCAAGATGCATTTCCTGCCCGTGCTGGTTTGTAGAAAAATTCTCTCTCAAGTTTGAGGAAACTGGCTATGGCGCCCTCTGGAGAAGGTGGTCCTAAACAACAATGTGGGAATCAGTTACAAATTTCATTATACCAACATATCCAATTCAAAAACAATTTGCAATTATGCATTATATGGGTTTCAAGTTTTCAAATTTAGTAAATTCTGTTTTTGAGAAAGAGATGAGAGATTCACATAACTTTACATCCAGAGTTACAGCACAGAAATAGGCCATTCGACCCAACTAATCTATGCCAGTGTTTATACTCCACGTGAGTCTTCTCTGCTCTCCCTCCTTTACATGCATTGAGATTCCTTTTAAATACATCGATGCGAGACATAAAAAGTATACAACATTTTCCAAGTGGGAGCATTTTGTTTTCCTAAGCTTATTTTGGTAATAACTTCTCCCAACAGAATAAAAGGGTCAAAAGTAGGGCTCTGGCCTGCTCCATGTCTCCCGCCCGACCCGCCCTACCATCAGTGGCCGGGCTTTCAGACTCTCTGCCCCCACACTCTGGAACTCCATCCCACGGTCCCTTTGCCTCGCTTCCTCTTTTGTCTCCTTCAAGCCCGGTCTCAAGACCCTTCTCTTCAACAGTGTCTTTGGTCTCCCTCCCACCTCTCTGCCTTCCCCCACCCCTACACCACACCTCCCACACATACTCGGGCCCCAACACCTGACTATTCAGCGCTTTGGGATGTCCTCCCGAAGTGAAATACGCTCTATAAATGTAATTTTGTTATTGTTGTTGCATGGAAAAGAGTGATTTGAGTGCAAATGTAGAGACTTGTGATATAGATTCAAATCATATGCCATATTTTCCGATCGATTAAAAATAATAATGGCTTGAAGGCAGCAAGTGAACCATATTCTCCAATGATTGAACTGATCATGAAGTCAGGCAGAATTATTGAGGTAGAAAGAAGTTAAATATCTTTCAAATATATTTTTGTATTTTATGAATGGCATTTTGACAATTCAATGGTATCCACTGGATAATACCTTGAGTTGTTTAATCCTTTAGAGATTTTAGTCTGAGGCTTTTTTATAAGTAGGTTCAACTTCAAAGTTATAGGGGAGTAATTATGAGCCTTTTTTGCTACCTTGAAGTTTTTTCTTCTCATTTAATTTTTTTCCATATGCATACATTGTATTTCTTGTGCGGTCTCTTGGGCTCCATCGTTCACATGTATTCTGCATTACTTCACCATTCTGTGAGATTTCTATAGGTCTCGGATGTCTGCCCCTGCATTATGTAGTATGAGGAATGAGAAACTTTAAAGCACCGGCTAACATACAGCATTTTAATTAAAGAGATTGATAGATATACAGAGCCAGGAAAATAATAGCTCTTACTGCAATTTATTCTTCAGTTTCTACAATGTTAGGGCATTTATCTCTTGACTATGAATATTTTAATTTGACAGTGGCGGTGTTTTATTTTATATAAATTATTTTATTTATTCAAACAAAGATTCTCTTGCAGACATCAGGGCCTGGATGAGTGTAAACTTCCTGCAGCTGAATATGGACAAGATGGAAGCCATACTTCTTGGCTCCCGTCAATGTCCTCACTCCTGCGAATCTAAACTCCTCAACCTCCCTGGGCTCTCCCTCAGACTCACTGAACCAGTGCGCAACCTAGGCGTCCGGTTCGGCCCCCAGCTGTCCTTCTTCCCCCACATACAGTCCCTGACCGCCTTCTTCCACCTCCACCATGTTGCCCGCCTCCGACCGTACCTTACCCCAATTGCAGTCGAAACCCTTGTGCATACTTTTGTCACCTCCTGCTTGAAATACTGCAGCTCACTCTTCGCCAGTCTCCTCAGTTCCACTATCCACAAGATCCAGCTCATTCAAAACTCTGCCGCCCACATACTGACCTGGACCAAACTACGTACTCACATCTCACCAGTTTTGGCCAGGCTCCACTAGCTCCCCATCACCGAATGGATTGACTTCAAGATCCTCTCACACTCGTGTTCAAATCCATTCACTCCCTGGCACCTCCCTACATCTTCAACCTCCTCACTCCCCAATCCACCACCCGGCGCCTCCACTCGACTGGCACCGGTCCCTTCTCGTCCCTCGCACCCTCCACCCCACCATCGGAGGTCGCACTTTCAGCCACTACGCCTCAAAACTCTGGAACACTCCCTCAATCCCTCCGCCTTGCCCCCTCTCTCCCCTCTTTCAAGTCCCACCTGAAAACTTTCCCCTTCGACTGTGCTTATGGCCACCTCCCCCCTCTCCCCGGCTCGGAGTCAGGCTACGCCACTGTTAAGTACCCTGCCTGAAGGGCGCTATATAAATGCAAGTTGTTGTTGTTGTAAACTTGTTTTGTATCTTCCTTACAGTGTACAACCACATGTGGTCAGGGTTACCAGATGCGTGCAGTAAGATGCATTGCAGGTTCTTATGGCACTGTTGTCGATGATAATGAATGCAATGCTGCCACCAGACCTACTAATACTCAGGTAATTGTTTGCTACTTACATGTTATCTTTAAATTTTTAAAAATGAGAAAACATTGCTGTACTTTTACATGATATATTTCTTCTAATAGGATTGTGAATTAGCTTCATGCCCCGATTTGCGTCCAAGTGCCAGAGAAAGAATACCCAATCACATGGGTTATGGAACTGAATGGAGATTTGGATCTTGGACTCCTGTATGCTGGTTTAATTTTGATATTGATTTTGATAACTAGAGTAATTTATTTTAAAAACTTCCATAATTCAGGATGCTATGATTGCCTTCAAATCAATTTATCGCATTCTTATTTTGGATGTCATTATAACAATACAAATCAATATTATTTAGTAACAAAATGTTTCATACCAGTAATTCTATTTTAAAAATTTATGACCTTTTTTTGTGATAAAAAAATTCAATGTCATTCTTCTTCACCAGTGTTCTGCTACATGTGGAAAAGGTACCAAACAGCGATATGTCAGCTGCAGAGACCTCCAAGGAGGTGTTGCTGACGAATCTGCTTGCTCACATCTTCCAAAGCCGCCATCTCGAACAGAATGCACAGTCATTCCGTGTGGACGCTGGAAAACCTTAGAGTGGACTCAGGTCAGAAACATTACCCTTAATTCTAAAATTAAATCCTGAATAATGTATGAACCAAACCTGAGTTTCTGGATATTCGATTTCTTCTGGTGTCCTGGCATCAAGCCCTCAAATAAAATTTGTCCTCCACTTTGTGGATGTTTATAGGATGCAGCTATGCACAAATTGGATGTCGTGTTTGCTTACAACCTACACAGTATATTTGTGAAGCACTTTGAGAAATTTTCCCATATGAAAGGTTGTATTAAATGTAAGAATATTACTTTATTGTACATTTGATAAGGTAATCCAACGTTTTAGAAAAATTTGTTAGAATTACACATTTGCATTAGTGGAAACATATACTCAAAATGAATACTATTTTAATAACAAAAAAAATAATAATAATAACACCACAGTAATGATGACCAACATATATGCATTTGTCTGATTTATGCATTTATGCAAAATGAGTTGCACATATTGTTAATTTTTATTATTCAACCTAGTGTTCGGTAACCTGTGGCCAAGGTAAAGCAACCCGACTGGTAATTTGCACGAACTACAACAATGAGATTGTTAATGACAGCGAATGTGACCCAGATGATCAGCCACTAATCCAGCAGGAATGTGCCATGTCTTCTTGCCCCCAACGTCGTCAAAACTACGATAGACCTGGACAGAGTGATCACTCGTTTCCTCGTACGGATTACCGCAAGGTGCTGCCAACACACGGCAACTTGAATCCAAATGTGGGCCGTGGGCAATCACCTGGAGGCAGTCAGTGGAGAACTGGACCTTGGGGAGCAGTACGTGTCCATTGGCTAATTTTCTGATTTCTTGATTTATTTTGCAGCATAAAAGTAAATTGCATCATCCTACAGTATTTATTTTGTACTAGTTAAAAGAACTGAAGGTGATCACATCATAGGCAACTTTAAGTTTGTGTTGCTGTGGCATTATTTACCTTAATCATGTTATATGTGGAGCACATTTCCATTTCATAACTATTTCACACAAAACATTTAAGATTTTATATGAATTTGTTTCCTCATGCTTATTAAAAATACCCACTATGGTCTGCATCATCTGCTCCTCACCTCATCTGTATCATTTATGGTTCCTTCAAGAATAAACCAACCACACAAAATATCTAATAACATCACTTGCTGTAAGCTCTGTTATAAGATACACAAGAACAGTCTTACAAAGGGCCAATTGTATTTTGACTGGTTTGACTACATTTTAACAACAGTTCAATCTCTGGGTTTCTCTTGCAGTGTTCCAGTACATGCGCTGGTGGCTTTCAAAGGCGTGTTGTGGTTTGCCAAGATAGGGATGGTTATGATGCGAATAACTGTGCTGAACAGACTCGCCCAGTTGAAATGAGATCTTGTGAATCTGGCCCTTGTCCTCAGTGGGTCTATGGCAGCTGGGGAGAGGTAGCGTACCTTTTTTTTAAAAGTTTGATTACTCCTTACTTAACGGGTCACATTTCATTACAAACTGGATATCTAATGCTAGGTCAGAGTGTGGATATTTTTGTGCAGCAAGTTGTACATGTATATACAATGAGTTCATTTCTGTAATTGACACCATCTATTTGCATAATAATAATGTAACCAAGCTTTTAAAGGTATTTTTCGTCATATGGTGGCAGAGTATTCAATTGACCTTGCACAAAGAAGGAAAACAATGTATACTTAAATCAGGATTTTGGCATGTTAACATCTTGTTTCCTTTGATAAAGTTATAACATTTTCAATTTATGAATCCCAACAAAGTGCATTAATTTTCAAAATGTTTTAAATGGCCAAAATTGTTGTACAAAACCATAACTGATTCTTCAACATCAGGAACTATGTTTTACCTTGCTGATATTTCCATAATGGATATGTTTTGGTGTTTTTGGCGAGATTTTTAAAAAAATAAGCCCTCTTGTTTTTTAAGTTATAAAATTTTCTAAACTCATTCTTTTTTCGGTGTTAAATCTATAGTGCACCCAGATGTGCGGTGGTGGAGCAAGAACAAGGCTAGTTATTTGTCAGCTTCCGAATGGACAGAGGCTAAATGACCAGAACTGTGAAATACTTGACAAACCACCTGACCGGGAGCAATGCAATACTCGAGCTTGCTCTGCGGATGTTGACTGGCACAGAGGTCAATGGAGCTCGGTACGATAACATTCTATTTATATAACTTAGCCCATCAGTTTCTGGATGTTCAGTTTATATCAATTCTGCTTAATGCCAGGGTATAATTTTGTAAAATGTTCACTTTTGTGAATTAACATATTTTATTTTCTAACTGAATCCATGCTGCTGTTCATTTTATGAAGGCCAGTATTATTCAATACACAGCTCTGTACCTCAAGTCACAGTTAGTTGGTGCAAAAGCACTCTTTTTATGAAGGGGACCTTATGTCTCCCTGTCATTCTGCAAATCCAGGTTCGCACTAGTTAGTGGACCTTTTAACGTTTTAACGCTAACCCCTCCCTCTCCGTTCCCCACCCTCCCGGCCCCCCCCCACCCCGCTCACTCCACTGGAGACATAGGGCAGGAGGGGGTTGAGATGGTCTTTTTGTCCATGAGCTGGTTACCAGATGGTTAATTTAAAAATACACCCTTTGAATTTTGAACCATCTTCCTCTCATCAAGGGTTAGATTCCTGCTCACCACAAGTCACATACAGACTGTCAGTGTGACTGCAAGAAGTGATTCATCACCTCAGCAACTTTAAACTGTCTTCCTCTTGTCCTTCACTGTGTTCCAGGTCCAGTTTTAATGTCTGTAAGAAGGGATGGCATCCCTATCTGTTCCGTAAAACATTTGGGTAGTCACCTCATTTTTCAAGGGATTTCCCTATCGTTTTCTAGGTTCTTTTCAAAGGCAGACATGCATGTTCAAAAGGTTTGGCAACTTTAACCATTTGTCTACAAACTTTCAGTACTTGAACACCAACATATCACCTCATTATCTTACAAACAACAAATGTAATAATAAGGGACTTTCTTTAATCAGACTTTTTGGGCATGATTTTGGATATACATTGAGAACAGAATTGTTAGTCCTGATTGTTTGCAGGATTTCTAATTTTGGCATAGTGTGCAGTACTATTTATGGGATAATTCAAATGTTAGACATTATAATGTGATGGGATGTGATTACCCATAGCAGGTAAGTGAATACAAGAATAAAAGTTCCACATGCACGTGCTAATTTGCTTGACGATTTCCCTTCCTTCTGTCTGTAGATTTAGCCTAGGTATGCATTATAGAACTAATCTCTCAGGTTTGGAGGCTAATTAGGCGCAGAGTTAGCGTTTGCCTAGTTAATGTTAGCTGTGTGCATTACCTGCCCACCCAGGTAAAGCATAAGTCAAAACAAAAGAAGCCTGCATCTGTAGTCGATGTGCTCATGCATATTGCTATGTACAGTGGAAAATGTTGTCTTTGGTTCCTTTCAATATCAGGTGACATGGATTCTGTCCCTATCCAAGCTGTGATCATTGAGCTCAGTTCGTTTTAAGAATGTCATTACATTCTAACCAAATGCATGCCTGGCTTGATTTTATAGGATGCCTAATTTTTTTGCTCAGAAAATTTAACAGGGTGGGAAATCTCATTTGTGTGAGATGCGAAATTTGCGAGATATCGAAAGAATCAAAACGGATACCATTAGTATAATGATTGATTAATTGATCACACAGAGGTGCTAAAATCATACCATTTTGTGGAAAATAAATGTACTATTCTTTTGAAAATGTAGAACCTATTGGTTTGCAGGAGTATTTGTGTATTTTTGTTCTTGCATCATTTTGACTGCTTTTTCCACATTGCTCTCTCTTGACAGTTGTTGGGGGAGGGGAAAGCGATAGAATTACTTACATTTCTAGTTTTTGTTTACTCTGTTCACAGTTTAAGTATGTGGGTTAGAAGTATTATCAACAATATTTGTTTTGGATGATATGTTTTTTATGTTAAATACCCTGGCAATTTAAGCATTTATAACACTTAAAAGTAATGTACATATTGCAAAAGGGCTTAATTTATTAATGAAGCATTTGCTCACGTTTTAAAATGTGTAAATATTTATGATACAGTACAAGTTATTTGTTGTGGTATATTCTTAGTAGAAGAGATAGTTGTGGGAGAATTCTGGTGCTAAGTTGCCAACATCCACAGAAATGTATCTTCTATATACTGTTTTCTTAAATAATGTAAAAAAAATGTACAGTTGACAGGTTTACATTAAACCTAAAATAAAACTATGCTTTTTGAGATTTTTACAGTGTAACTTTGATGGTGAGCGCAAATGATTTACATTTCTTGTCCAGCATTTCCCAGAGAAACAATAACATTTTAACATACTCCAAAGCAAGTGAGCAACTCATTTATGTGTAAGTTTATGGATGCTAAACCTGTGATTTGTTTTACTTTTTTTAAAAAAGCTGCTGTATTTTGTACAACTAGAGTATGTCTGTTATCTAGCTATTGAATATATATTTCATAAGATGCAAACAAATTATGCTGGTTCCATATTTACCACTTAACTAGCAAGTATGCATAGTAATTTGTACTTGCTTCTATATAACGTATGTTGCTTACGACTACTTTGTTGCTTTACATGAAGGGCTTTTACTTTTGTCCGGGCAGCTGGAAGCTATCTGAAAAATGCCTCCCAGGCCAATAAATATATTTTGAGAATAATCCCATAGACCTGGTTTAAATTTTTAGTTGTGAGACTCGATGATTAGATGTAAAAAGAAATTGCACAATATAAATATATTTATCATCGTAGGTCTTATGCTTGTAACAGGAAGAGCTGTGTCCATTGTGGCAAGTGAAGAATTACATATGGGAGCACATCTGTTGCTGTTCGAGGCCACAGTGTTAAAATGTGCTTATATTTACATGGTATTTACAGTTTTGCCTACTCAGAGCTAGAAATGTAAATTAGTACTTATTAACAATCCATTACGATGTCTTCTTACAGCTGTCAGAGTTGTACGTTCAGAGATTTCGAGACCTGTCTACTAAAAAAACTGTGAAAGAGCTATATAAATACAAATTGTTGTTGTTGTAGCAAAAAGTATTATGGACCCAGTCTAGTATGTGAATACATTATGTAAATGAGTTTCCACAGAACAAATGTAATTCGCATCTTGTGTATATACACACTCGAGATATAAGCTGAAAGTCAACGTGCTAAGTCAATGTGAAAATCTAAATGTAGGTCTGTTGTGTTGTAAAGCACTTAAGAATAAAATGTCCAAGCACCACAGAGAAACACCCCGATGAAGTATTTAAAAGGACTGCTATCCATTTTAACAGAAGTTGTGAATTCATTGAATAATAGGAAGAAAAGCTTGAGAATTCTGTGGGTAAAACTATGTGGTGCTGGACAGGGGATAAATCCTTCCATAACATAATGGTTTTCTACTGGAGTCGAGTTTGATTTCTTCTTAGCCAGAGCATCCTGAATCAAATCAATGTGGTTTTGTTCTCAGCATGTGCCACATTGAAGTCCTTTGACTCAAAACTAAAACCAAATTTCTGATTTATTGTTGATACAGTACATAGTGGAGTTACTTTTTGTAAAAAAGTAAGTGTTCAGTACTTTTTTTACTGAAAAATATATTCTAAAGGTTTGAATTACGATCTTCCATATCTGAAAGTGTTTTCTTCCTTCCTCCAGTGTTTTTTTATTTTCTGTCTAATTAGAGGCCTTAAAATCTTGTGATTATTTTGAATGTTCTTTCTCTAATACATAATTTTGCAGGGATATTGAATATATATATATATACACAGCAGATACTGTTTTAAAAGTTTCAAAAAGCATCTATTAGACAGTTACTGATTCAGGGCAAAATTCTACCCAATTATTAGATAAAATGATCAGTTTTGGGCAAAAACTGTAAACTATTATATTGGTTAATTTATGCAGCAGTTGAGAACAAATTCACTGCAACATTAACCATATTGTTTTAAAAAAAATCAGTGCATAAATACTTTTGATTGTGTCTTACTGAGCTGTGTATGTCAGGATGGTTCCATATCTGATCCCTGCTAAGGGTTGACTTAACAAGCAATATTCCAGCTCTCAATTGCTATACAATGATTCTGGAGAAAGTCCCAAGTGTGTGTGTGTATAGATGTTGACTGTGGACAGGATCAAGCTTAACTGTGATGCAAATGCACTGAGCTGTACAACCTTATGCAGCAAGAATGGGCACTTAGATGAGGTAGCAGAGGGTTGCTAGTGTTCATGGAACCACACCACTACCCGAGTCTCTATTTTGAGGAGAGGAGAGTTTAATGGGAAAACATTCGAATAAAGCATTTTCTAAGTCCCCAAAAGATTAGTTTTATTATTTGCGAACCCGGCAGCCAATTTGCAAACAGCAACATCCCGTAAAAGCGAAGTCATGACATGAATGACCAATTTAGTTGACTAGGACACTGGGAGAAACACCATGGGAGGTTTAATGTCCACATGAACAGGCAGAGAGAATAAAACTTGAGTTTTCATACCATAGAGTAGATTTGGAACACAATTATGCTAAGTATAATGGTAAACTGTGGGTGCCTGGATCATTAGTGTCCCCTCTGGTGGTTAAAGATTTTACAATGTCTTCTCAACACCACGTGCATATAGTTTAGGACATCTGCAAGGGAATTGGTTCAATTAAATTAGCTGCACCTTTTTCGTCTTGAAACCTTATGCTTAAGAAAAGGCTTTTGATCATTTTTCTGTCAGAATTGTTTTTAAAATAATTGGCTCATGCAATGCAAATGAACACCTTGGTTGTGTTGCTGAAAATATTTATCAGCCATTCAACTCTTGTTCCTGGGTAAGTTTTTTCACATATGAATAATATTTTGGATGTAGATTTATGGAAGCCATGACTTATGGATTCAGGTTGGACAATGCGTCCTCGACTTTAGAAGTCTGAAACCCAAAGTTGAACAATATTGGTTGCTTATCATCATAATTTTGACAAAATGTCAAACGTTATCATCTACTTTCAATAAACATGTGTTAGCAGTTAGTTTGCATTGCTTAGACTTTCTATGGATGAATTTGGTGATTTTTATCACAGTATTACTTCCAGCTATTTTAATACAAAATCGAACCATATTATTTACTTTTAAGATACCTCATTTAAAATTAT